TATATATTTTTTAAAACTCGGAGTATGGCTAGTTACATTTTGTAGCATTTCACTCCCTTGAACTAGTCTAAGCCATTGACCTTGTAACGGTGGCTGTATTCCAGTTTTTGCTCATGTAACGGATCTGCAGTAACCAGTGGTTGCAGGGAGATTTCAGGTTTCTGAGCTTTTTGTACTTGGAGGGGGGGGGGTTTCCTGCTCCTTGATGGTAGGGAGGTGAAGCCTTCTCTCTCTCTTTAGGTCGTCCTGAGTAGTTTTGAATCTATCTTGTACCTAAATGTGGGAACCCAAATAAATCCCAACTTGCTATGCACTAAATGGGCAATCTACCAAGCTCTGCAGGGGTCACGACCTCTCTCTGTTCCAGCCAGGTAGATACAGGCACACTTTGCAAGCTCATAGAGACAAGGAAATTTTGTGGCCGCAGAGTTGGTGGAATGCTCATGAACCTTCTGATGCCTTTTCAAATACCTTGATGCCTGTAGAAGTAGAAATGCTTTCCTATTTAAAACAAAAATAATAGATTTTGGTACTAAAATTGTTGTATTTTTGCCTTGTAAAAGCTTCAGTACAAGGGTCTTAATTTTATTTTATTGCTTGTGTGATGCTATAGGTAAGACTGTTGATCTTGTGAAATGTAGTGGGTATTAAAAGCACATGATCTCCATTGGACTATGCAAATTTACATATTTTTTTCAGTAGCAGCTTGAGACAGGCACTTTGGAATCTCCTTTACTAGCCTCCCCCACCTCAAAATGTACAATTGCTTTCAGTGCTGGAGCCCAAATCTGTAAAATACCAGGGAAAGCACTAATGAAAAATAACTCTTTTACAGAAAGGGTAGAGGTTTTTAAATCAAATTTTGTGGGGGGCAGAATGTGGCCCATTTGATATGGGCTGTCAAAGTAGTTTTGGTTTTACCAAAGTTTGACCACAATCTGGCACTCATAATAAACTCTTCATTATAAAAATGGAACTGCCATCATTTTTAAAACCAAAGATTAAAGAAGAGGAAAAAAATGACACATTTTGTTAGGATGCAAACAGAGCTTTGAAAACTCTATTTTTGATACACAGAATGAATGTCATTCCTTAAAGGTTTGGAGATTGTTCAGAATTGAAGTTTTGTATTTAACAATGCGGGACAATAATGATTTAAGACTAAAGGTTACATTCTAGATGTTTACAGAGCCTTGTATTGTAATTTTAATGTACATTTTGTGTATTAAACCTTTTGTAAGTTATGATTGCAGTGCTACATGCAGAAATACAAAGGGAAGAACTTGCATTTTAGGCTCTTGAATCATAGTGTTGAAATAAAGAAGAAAATGCCTAACTGATGTCTCTTTCTATCAAAGTGTATAATCTGTTGTGGATCATGCTCTGGTGTGTTTTCCATGTGTGCAAGGAAGAAGAGAGAACTCTTATGACTGTGTCAAATTGTGCAGACATCAGAATTTGTCCCTGAACATGACTGATCTGGGTCAGTGATAGCCCTTCAGCCCAGCTGCATGAGAGCTGGGGTTTGCAACACTGCCTGGGCAAATGCCAGGAGATCTTAGGCATGGTGTCTGGGGAGAGAGAGGAAGTGATGTCATGTCCAGCTGATTACCTAGGTGCCTCCCCAGTCACTGCCGCCTTTACCATAGAGAACAGTGGAGTTCTCCCTCTAAGGGAGAAGACATCTTGGTAGGCGATTCCCACCATCCACTCAGGGAGGCAGGAACAACTTTTTGCTGTCCTTCCTGTCTCTGCTGTGGGAGTCACCCGCCCTTCAGTTCTGTTCCTGCCTCAGCAGGGAGAGCAGTTGAGAGAAGGCTGTCCTGCATCCACTCTAACCTATATCTACTTCTTACGATCTTCCTTCAATTCTTAAGCCTTAATATCTTTATATCTTATTTTTCACTCACCTTCTACCTCCTTCTATCCTACTCAGCTCCCTGACTTGGAAGAAGAGAGCAGAGACCAGTGGGCTGAGAACAGCCGTGGCGGCTATTCCCAATTAACGGGCTTGCATAGCGTGTCAGTTTTGGCTGCTCAAGCCACGGAACAGCGAGAGGTCGGCAATGGCTTCCCCTCAGAAGAGGAACGGGAGGCTCCCCTCACAAGCAGGAGCAAGGGAGACTTCCGTTTGGTTTGGGCAAGGACCCTAGCAGGCTTGCCTTAACCCTGTGAACCAAGTCGCTCTGCCAGCAACCACAAAAATGTGCAAAAAAATGCCACCTGCAGAAGACGGCTACAGAGCCTATGGCCTGCTCAAGCCTCCCAACTACAAGTGGCGTCCATTTTACGTGCCCAAGAAAAAGCTGCGGAGGAGAACCTTCTGCCTCTACAAGCCATTTGGGTGATGTGGGAGCCAGTGGAAATGAACAGCAGATGCTTGACACTGGCCCACTCATTTCCCAGCTGTAAGAACTGAAACTGAATATACTGCATTGCCCGCTTTAAATGGTTAAACTGATGGATGACGGTACCCAACCTAATGCAGGGCAAAGAGATATTGGATTACAGAAAAGAAGCAAATATTCATGGACACAAGCCTATCCGGATGGGGGGAGGGGTGACACTGGATGGGCATCTAATGCAGGGACAGTGAAGCAAGAAGGAAACAACTCTAGCAATTAACCTGTTAGAACTCTGAGCCATGGTTTTCAGCCCTTTATCAAATGTCTACAGATACACCTCTGAGGCTTCCAGTATCTGTGGACATGTTACTCCAGGGACCAATCTGACATCCACATCCAGAGTGGTTAAATTTGACCACTTGGAAACTGAGAGGGACGACTTCCTAAGACAGGGGTGGCTAAACTGTGGCTCAGGAGCCACATGCAGCTCTCACACATGTTGTGTGGCTCCCGGCAGGCAGCTGGGGAAGCAAAGGGGAGGCATGCCTCCCCAATCAGTCTTCCCTTCCCCAGCCAGTGTTCCCCTCCCTGGGTAGGCTTGAGGCAGGGGGGAGCCGGGAAAGAAAGGAACTTTAAAAGCATTCTGAAACACCCCCCCCCAAGCCTACAAATATCATTGGACAAATAAAATATCATCAATATCTATTTTTACCCCTTTTGTTTTTATTTTTGGCAGTCTTATTTAATGTTAATAAAAAGCAAATTTGCATATTTTTCAATAAAAACATCTGTAATGTTTGTTCATGTCATGCGGCTCTCAAACATCTGACATTTATTGTATGTGGCTCTTACGTTAAGCAAGTTTGGCCACCCCTGTCCTATGATTAGGTTACAACACAGAGGTTATGAATACTCTCCTTCCATCTAGGAGACAATCAACCAACAAAATATATAATTTTACCTGGAAGCAATGCTCCCTCTAAGCTGTGGAGTCTTGTGAGCAAAAATTCTACTTTGTGAGCTACTGGCATTAAAGTGGCGAGCGAGCAATTTGGCTACTGCATAAATTAGTTTGCTCTGGAGCCATCCTTCCTGAGCTAAGACAAAAACGTGTGAGCCGGAGGCTAAAAAACTGTGAGTTAGCTCACACTAACTCAGAGGGAACGCTGCCTGGAAGGCATTTGTTCGATGGTGTAAGAGGAAGAAAATTGATGCCCGTGAGCATGAGAATACTGCTATGGGAGATCGCACCAAGATGTCCTCTGCCTCAGAGGGAGAACTTACACTGGCTAGTTACAGTGCCACAGCAGAGACAGGAAGGAGGAAAAAATAGTTGATCTTCGATGTGGTCTCTGTGCTTCACACCCATGGGATCTAGTGCGAATGCACTGGATTGATCGGTATTGTAGCAAGTTTTTAATGGATTTTCGCGCCCAGACCTCAGGCATGCGCAGGAACCCCACCATGCATGCCCAGACGGGTGGGCGCGGACATCCCACCAGTTCCTTTCTTTCGTCAGTCTGATCGGTTCTTTTTTGGCTATTTGCCTCACAGCTCTTCGGATTTTTTCCTCAGTTTTCTATATTCTTTTTCTCTCCTTACGTTCTTCTTAAAATCATATATCATTTTTTTGTTGAGGGAGAAATTCTCGGTTTACCTCAGTTTCGCCTTCGGGCTCCCCCCTTTTTTTCCTTCTCTGCTTTTCTTGTTTTATGGAGAAGAAGTGGGCTTTTTTGACCATTGCAAGGGCTGCGGCAGTAAACTTGCACCACCGGACCGCCACACCCTCTGTATTTTTTGTTTGGGGGAGTCTCATCGACCTGAGTCTTGTCGGCACTGTGCTAGGTTTTCGAACCAGACAAGAAAAAATTGAGCTGCGTGCCTTAAAGTGGCACTACTTGAGTTGGTGTTACATCCTCCCTCAGTGATGGAGTCCGAGAGACCATTGACATCGACAGCTCCAGCATCGAGGCCCTCCTCTGACATCGGCCAATCAACGTCGAAGCCACCGGCATCGAAGGCGCAATCCTCCGTGTCCACTCCGGTGAAGAAGAAGCCCAAGTCAAGTAAGGAGCACAAGTCCACAAAAAAGGGCTCCTCTAAGTCCCTAAAGGCGGCAAAGAAGGGGAAGGTAGCGGTGTCTGCACTGGGTGATGCCCCTAAAGTGCCCCCCGCTCCAACGGCAGTATTGGCATCGGAGGCCCATGCCGCTCCACCGATACCGACCATTCAACTCTTGGACTCTCCTATACAACAACTCGAGCGTCTTTACCCTGATATCGAGACTGTGGAGCTCCTTAGTCGCCCTCTGGACGCAGAACCTTCTTCTTCACCGGAGTGGAAGCGGAGGATTGTGCCTTCTATGCCGGTGGCTTCGACGTTGATTGGCCGATTTCAGAGGAGGGCCTTGATGCCGGAGCCGTCAATGGTCTCTCGGACTCCATCACTGAGGGAGGATGTAACGCCAACTCAAGTAGCGCCACTTTAAGGCGCTCCGGGACGTGCCCAATCCAGAAGTCGATCCCCCCGAGTCTTTATCCCCCC